GAGCAGGCTAAAGACACAACCTACCTTCTCGAAATCTTGGTTAGAAAGAGAGAGATGACATCCAGAAACGTTAAAATGGCCGAGAAAGCCACTAGGGGGACATTCTGAGCTTCCGATTGGTTATTCATGTCATATATACATATATATATATATATAGAAGTAAGTGTATTTAAGGGAGCATATGCAAAAATGAAAAGAGATAGTGTGGGTGCCACTGTGTTTGATTTATTACACGAGCAATATTTTATCAAACTGAAAAGATGAGAGGCTCTTATTTTATATTATAGCTTGTCAATATTGGTAATTTGAGTTGCTAATTCGTACAAAACTATAACCTTAGTATTTTGACATCACAAACATCTAATTTGAACCAATGCTGCATTCAACATACCACATGACACACAAAAATCAATGTTTATCTGTGTTTTTAATATTTACTTTTAAGTTAAGAAATTGAGTAAGGTATAGTACTAAAATTTGAATTATAATCTACAGTTTGATACCAAACTTATTGACATAAATTCATGAAATAGCAGTTCATTAAAATTTTGAATGCGAATCAACAAAACGCAATGACATGGCCTTTCAACCGTAACCAGTTGATATTTTGCATATGAAAGTCTTGGAATATTTATTAATAATCTGCCAAATTTCACGAACATATGCTTACTAATTTAAAAGTTAATGGAATTATTAAGCCCAAGAATTTTAATATATTTTAGCCTGGTATGCTCTTCCAATAACTTGTATGTCATCTCTCTACCACCTGTAAGTGACAAACACCCTTTCCTAGAAATACCCCCCACCTCAAACAAACCTACTTTTTCTACAAAGAATTACAAAAGTAATGTAAATAAAAGAACAAAAACCAATGAACATACCTTTCTTGTCAGTCTATAAAACAAGAACAAAAAAAAATATGAGATACAATAAAACTCGACACTAAAATCACATATAAAAATTTAAGCTACTATTATCTCATGAATGTTTAAAAAGTTTTTTCAACTAAAACTTAGGACATTATAGCAATCACTAGAATGAATTGGTAACTTTGAACTTTCTTTACCCTAGTACACAAGTTGCATAAAGAGGACCTGAATTTAGAGCTTTTGAAACATTTAAAAATAAAAACATGTTTAAGATCTTTATCTTATATACAAATACCATACATTTTCTTCTTGTTTTTGCTATGGATAAGATAAAAATATGATACTTTTTACTGTCTACTTTAAGGTACCGTTACAAAACCTTGCGATGGGAATTCATTAAGAATTTTTTTTTTCTGATAATCATATAGAATTCTAATAGCTTCAAACAAGTTGAAAATTAACTGAACACAGTCTTGAATTTTATAATGTAAAAACCATACAATATATTGTACCTTTTTTGGTAATAAGCTTAATAATGTAGACTATGTTAATTTGTCTATATTTTTTTTAACTTAGGAAAGTTTTTACTATAACTATTTGCACATCAATCCTACAACTCTATTGCAAACCAGATATTTATTATGACTCACCTTTAACACTTTCTGTTTCACTTCATCCTCAGAACTAATAACCTATGGATTGTAAAAAAAAAAAATTGCTATATCAGCAATTTTGTACTTCAGTGAGACACATACCATACATTGAAATTGAATAAAACTATTATCCCTAGTTTACTCACATTACAAACTTCAAAAGTATATTCACCTACTCATTTAGATTACATACCAGCTGTAAACAAGATGTTTTGCTCAACAGTAGAGTTCTCTTGGACAAGCTACCCCATAACAGCAGATAAATCAAGCATCACTTACAGTTAACGTAACTTAGGCCATTGAGGCTGTCCCATCCACTGAAATATATTAAACTTCAAAAATCAAAGCCAGTGGTTAAGGTGCATGCATACTAGTAAAATGCAGTGTTGAAACTACCAGGACAGTAAGCATGTAATAGATACACAATGTGTGTGTGTGTGTGTGTGTGTATATATATATATATATATATATATATATATATATATATAAAAGCACAAAAATCTGTGTTTGTCCATTATTTAACTACTCTTAGGTCGCTGGGCCAATCTCAAACAAACTTCCCTCCACCCCCACTATTGCTGTTATTGAACATTTATTATCTTTGATGCAAGTTAATGTTAACTACATTCATAGATGGTGCCACATCCTTAAACCAAAAAAAAAATTCTATAACACAACATACATACAATACACACCTGGCACCTGGGTATTTTTCGCAAGGCCTGTATTATCATATTATTATTAAATTGACAATTTCCTGAAAAGTTAATGGTAGGTTTAAATTTTGACTTTCCTCACGGGTGAGTGTTCACGAACAGCCTTGAAAGACCAAATGATCCCTTGCTGTCCATAAGTTATGATATAAAACTTTAAGTTATAGTATTTATCTGCAAATGACTGTTGCCTAACAACAATAACATTATCAATAACTTGTATACAAATGCAAAAATTGTCACTTGAAATTTTCATTGCTTAGTACTAAAACACTACTAATGCCAAATGATTAACATTAAAAAGAATAAAGTGCAAAATACACTACATATTAGTAAACTTCTAAAATATTTTGTAAATGAAACAGCACATTTTCTGTTGCTTCTTTTCAAAAATTAACCCTATGCACTCAGGTCAAATTGCAATCATGACATACTACTTTGAAAATTCAATTAAACAATTATCATAAATGTCTGTTGATAAACTTGGCAATAAACCACAGTTTCTTGTTAGCTATTAAATGTTTAGAAACAAAGCCATACAATAAACTTTGTGATGCAGACTACATAATGCATAAACCGATACATAGATAAGTTTGCCCAATTCAAACTGACAGCATGTCGAAAAATGATGAATGGGGATTGTAAACAGCCTATGCGTTGGCTTGGCAACAAGCTGCTTTATGTAATATTGTCTTGTGTAAACAGACTATGTTGTTCAGACAACAGCTTGCTATATCATTGTGTGTGGTTACGAATGGTCTATCAATTACATCATGACATGACGTAGAACAGGTAGAGGTTACTACTGATACATACCTGTCAATCATGGTATTTCAAGTTAACAACTAATGTGATTATAAAATCTCTCCTATTCATTCATAAGTACATAGGTAAGCTCATACTTCATTATTAACATATGGTTATTGACAACTTTCATTTCATTTATCTATATGTATACACATTTGTGGGTTTGAAATTGATGGACTTTACTGAAACTACATTTTACCTTGCCTTGACAAGGGTGTCATGCAGCATCACTCTCAGGTTACCATGTAAATTGATCAATCACTGTCATTTTGTTAACATTGTTCCAATGGGAAAAGTTCATTTACAGGTGTGATTTCTAATTGTTTTCATTAATTATTAACTACATTGAACTTGCAGTGTAAATCTAGTAATTTGTGAATGGTGTGTGAATTTTCGTTATTTTCATTATTTAAAAATCATCGAAACCTCCTACTAATATTATAGCAACTGGAAATTACGAATATAATAGTTCTAGGTTATAATTAGGCCAGCCTATACAAGACAAAAAATATTCGCACCATCACTTCATACCAATAAGTAGTTGTAGCATTAATTGTATGCCACAACACAAGCAACATAATAACAATTGTAATAATATATATATATATATATAATACATTGTAGCGGCTTTCAAAATTACATTAGATTAACATGGTATGTAGTGTACTGACCGAGGCTAAGCTACATTACTCGTTAGCCTAGACTAACAAAACGAAAAAGGCAAATACGATGTTTTGACCACTGATTAACAGTAACACTAATACGGAACCATTGGACCATTACGCTATAGTCAGTCTATAGCATTAATGCCATTATCGTTACTTCTCCTACTACTACTAGTAGTAGTAGTAATACAGAATTTTGTGTAATTGAGCATTTTAGTTTCAGTTTTAGGCCTACCGGCACTTACTTCTGATGCTGTTCTTTTTTGCGGACTCGTTTGTGATTTCAAGTCACCAGATCCTTTCTCGTTTTCCTGAACATTCTCTTCAACCTTCTGAGTAGAAACTTCTGTCTTGTTTTCTGTGGAACTCATTGTGACTATTAAAAATATTTGGCAAGCAACAATAACTAACACTAACAGTCTTTGTTCAAATTCGTAAAAATGGCGCGTGTATTATATACCACAAAGACTTAGTCAAACCTGTATATTTAAATAAAACATAAAAAGGAAAGATCAAAGATTATTTTAACAACCTAAAACTTAATTAAAATGATAAATAAAAATATATAGAAACGTTTAAGATTAGATTTAAAAAATAAAGGTTTACACAGCACTGCAACCACTAGAGGGTTGAAGAACTGTTTACTCGATATATGCATAATAAAATTCCACCTATTACATCCTCGATGTTAAAAAAATCAAAAAAAATCTTACAGTTTCAAAACGCGGTGCTTGTTATAAAATATTAAAAAAACAACCATCGCTTTACGAACATATAATTGTATGGTTGCTAGGAGAAAATTTGAAAATAGGCTTTTGCATATTTATTTATGTAAATATATATAGTCTGGAAATGAACTCAGGGAAAACATAAACTTATTTTTCAATTAAAAGCTAGAAAGCGGTCCGTTGAAGATAAATTCTTAATACCACTTTTACGGATTTACGGAGCCACTTTCT